TGGGACATCAGCAGCTTTTTGTGCCTTCATATTGGTATTTTCTCTTGAGAGGTCCATTTGTTGGCCCCATAGTCTACAGATCAGGCTTGTTTACACATAGTTAACGTAATAGTGCAGAGCAGCATGATTTGCGAATGCCGTGCCTGGCCGTGTGCCAGACATGAGTTTCGGTGTTAGCTGATTTAACGCTTGGCTACGTATGTCGCCGGATAATGGTCGAGTATCGTCCTTTATATCATGACGTGTGTTGTTTTATTTTCAGTATTTAAAGCTTTTGTAAAAGTAATTAAATTGGCTGTCACTTTTATAGTAAGTATACAGTAAACTTATGTCTCAGGGTGACGGGAGCAGTAATAAGCCCCAGACCTTTGATATTTAAAGCACTGGTGGTGGTGGTGCTATGGATCAGCGTGTCGCTTGCCATCAGGCGCATGACTTGTTCGTCCCGTCACTTGATATCAAATAAAAATTTAGCTTTACTTATGAATGACCACGTTTTCTGCTTGTTATGTTGGTCTCCTTGATTTATTTCAAAGATACGTAAAGATACAGTTAACTATACCACTTATCTATTCGTAATAGGTTCCATAGCAATATGTCCAAATGAAAACTGGCTGGCCAGCAACATTGTTTCTTTTCAATTTGTTACAATGTACAGGTTAAAATCAAAATTTAATCCACTACATCTTAGAGTGTATAAAGGCAAACAGTTTTGATGCAGTACTGCGCTACGCGGCGTTTGCAGACAACAATAGTATATAGCAACTGTACGAGAACTGCAGACTGCTTAAAAACGTATTTTCAGTCAATTGCACAGAAATTGCGATTTTCAGCTGAATTACAAACAACTCGAGATTCCCACGTCAATGTATGAGAATCAATCATCATCAAGCTATACACACGTCTCACACTTTTTTAGAGTGTTGTTAAACTTCTTCGACACGCAGGTTTCATCACGATATTTTCCTTCACCGTAAAGCTCATGGTAAATTTCAAATTAAATTTCGCATATAAATTCCGAAAATCTCATAGGTGCGAGACCGGATTCGAAGTCACAGTCTCTCCCTGAGAGGTGCAAGGGCAAACCATTAGGCTACCAAGGTGCTCAAGGTATGAGATTAAAACAAGAAATGAAACAAGAAAATAAATACAAACGTTACACATTATTCAAATAAAATTAACAATCCAGCATGAAAGAAAAAGTCAGACGTTATTATATCTAGTTCTAGGTACGAACGGTACAGGGTTAGAATCGGGTGTCAATAAGAGTCGGACGTTCACGTTGGCTCGTCTCCACCGGTTCCACATGACGTAATGGTCTTTCCAAAGAAGGTATACGGTGACTGAGTAGCCGCAAAGTACGATGGCCATGAAGAAGTCCATTGCAGTTTCGGTAATACGATGGGATATTCCTGAAAAAACACCTGCTAGACGTTACATTTACAGAGTTTATGCGCTGAATAGTATACTAAAACTGTTAAATACACAATCAACCAATCAGAGTGCTTACATAATGCAAGAGTGAGACAGGTGTATTGCTATGTCGCTAGTATAAATAAAGATTTCCGCAGAACAAAATGACCGTCGGGGCAAGAAGATGTTAGAGTACACACGACGGGTTTTAGCAGCGATGCAAACGCGCATTCATGAAACGCGCGATTGCATCGTTCCACTTCCGATTTATAGGCGATTGCATCGATGCAAACGTGCGACTGTATCGATATAAACGCGCCCTACAAATGCCAAGAGTAGCGATGTAATCGCGCGTTTGCATCGCGTTTGCATCGCTGCTTAAAATCACGCGTATGCGTAAAGTTAGACGATTAGCGACTGCATCGCTACTGTATCGCGTTTGGATCGCTGCTAAATGTCGCTATGTGTAACAGCTCTAAAGTATGCAGCTATAGTTTAATGCCGTCTATAATTACTATTTTGGCGTAACATGTCATCGTTAAGTTGGATGCCAAAAAATGAGCGTCAAGGGTTAAGGGTGGTTTTGTTATCGATCTAAGAGCACTTTCGCTTGCTATTACTTTAGTCCTATTATAAATAGTCAATATTTTCTGTCGTTGGTACAATTATTACACTAGCCAAATTCGTCATAGAATATTTAAAGACTAAACGTTGATAGGCAACCAAAGATGGCACGTGTAATTAACATTTTCTGTCAATGCTCATTATTTAGGGTAACTGTAATTGAAATTTAAATAGGTAAGTAAGTACCCAATTGGGTTCATTTACTATAAAAAGTCATATTTGACGTTTATTATATTAAAAACACTTATATCAAAGGATTTTATTTAGCAATGTACGGAACTATGCCCTTATTATGTAGTTCAATTACAATATTATAATAACACAAAAAGGCTTAACTGAATGCAATTGTGACTGGTTGTATTCATGAGTCAAGTATTAAGGGTTGAATTTAAATTAGTTATGCTCGTTATATGCAGTAATAATTTCCTTTTCTACTAAGTTAATAAAGAAAATAACTTTTTTTATACAAAAACCCGACCTCAAAAGTTCGTGGAATTACATCTATTTGCCAAGTTTTATTGAAATCGGTTACCGGAAAGTGCGCGAAACCGGATTCAACCCTTAGTTTGCCATCCTTAGAGGTGAAATACTTTCTTAAAATTGAAATGGGGCCAATACTGAGGTACCCTCTTTCCAACAAAAGGCGTAATCGCGTAACACACATACAAAAAAATACAGTCGAATTTAGAAACTCCTCCTTTTTTTAACCGACTTCAAAAAAGAAGGAGGTTCTCAATTCTACTGTATGTTTTTTTTGTATGTATTTTACGCGATAACCCCGGTATTTGTGAACCGATTTCATGATTCTTTTTTTGTTGGAAAGGGGGTACTTCCATGGTCCCATCTCATTTTGAAGAAAATCATCCACCTCTAAGAGTGGCTGTTCACATAGCGCCTAAATTTTACTAATAAGCAATTATTTTAATGCTTGATTTTGCTATTTCTCCAATTCAAGGCGTTTTTCTCTGAATATACTTTGAGTAGTGAGAACCGATTATTATTGTCTCCAGTGTCAAGTCCTGTATAGTGGCGAACTAGGGGATATTTCAATAAAACTTAGCAAATAGACGGAAATATTCTGTACTGAGATTATTATCACTAGACTGGCTTAATGGCTTGGCTTTGTGGAATGGCTAGTCAATTGGTCCCGTGTATATGGGCCATTACAGAAGCGATGCAGTGGCACAACAGTGGCGCTGCAGACGCGCCGCTACTAATTTTCTTACAATATTTAGAAGCGCAATTGCAGCGCTACTGTCGTGACACGCACGCCTTTTTGCAGTCACAATTAGTGAACTCTTATTGAAGCGCTACAGACGTGCGGCTGCCGTGCTACCTTTACGCCACTGCAGCACTTCTTCAAATTAGAAGGTGCCCTTAGTGTTACTGCAATAGCCATACAATATATCATGTTACGTTCTACGTTGGCGCAGATACCGTCTGCTCGCTCTTAATTTAACCCGCACAAAGACACTAAAACGGACGCTATTCTACCCTCACGTCTCAAGGTCCTTTTCCACCGCGAAGCGAAATGAGACAAGGCGAGACGAGGATTGAAATTTGTATGGCAAAACTTTAATTCTTTCCATTGCATCTTCGGTGGAAATGGTCTAGATTTATGAAGATGGGCGAGCGAGAATTGAAATATTTTTTGATGTAATATTGAACCGTATTGCTGCCTTCATAGAGTATTGTACTCTGCAACGGACACACGATTTCTCGCTCGAGCTTGCAAGTTCACGCACGATCTCTCGCGAGCTAGCGATGGATTGTTACAATGGCGAGATTGTGGGGTATGTACGATTTCAGATTTAAAAAAAGTTGGCTTGGAGGTGGTTGTGATGCAATTTATGGCAATTTTTGATGGAAATAGTCCGGTGAGATATTAATTCTTGTCTGGCCTCGTTGAAGGAGAGACCACCGGCGCGGCGAGGCGACCACAGCGCGAGCTAGCGAGAGGTAATCGAAAACGTTTTGTTAATGTTAAAAAAACAAAATAAAATAAAAACAAACACACCTTCTTCCTTTCTAACTCCTGCATCGAGCTTACCAAATTTATTACCCTCTATGACAAAGTATTGGGTTCCGACGATGCATACTGCGAGGAGGCCAGCAGTTACCGTTGACAGGAGCCAGAATATCAAGCAGTCCGACTGTAAACGGAAATTAAAAATTATTTTAAATAAAATTGGTAATTAACACTATTGCCACCATCAACGCATTATATGTAATGATTTGGATCCTCTTGACGCTTCCCTGTGTCTGTAGTGCTTCGGGCATGTTTGCAGATGCACACATGGATGACTTCCACGCGATTATGCGGAAGAACGCGTATAATGTGCGGCGAATACAGGGAAAGCAACAATGGAATCCTGAAGATGATAGCAAAATATAGAACGGACTCGGCTATCCTCAGCTCGTTAACTTCCTAAAATAGTTATAATTCTACATTTTCAATTATTTTACTAACATAATTTGAAGTATTTCTGTTAATGATCAATTAATCTATAGGATGTTATGGATTAATTGATTTGAAAATAAGGGATTTTATTTTTTATTTTATTTATTTATTATAATATATTTTATTTATTTATTATAACTACCTCCGTGGCCAAACGGTTACCATGCCACGCAGAGATTCCAGGTTCGATTCCCGGGCCGGGAGAAATATTTGTATGGCCTACATTTATTTCTCTTCAGAGTTTGGGTGTAATTTGTGGTTGTTTAAATGTGTGTCCATGACATCCGCGACACAGGATTTCCCTAGTGCGGGGCTAAGTAGAGTATGTGCGTTACCATTATTATTATTATATCTATTTTACACTCTTATTATTATTGAATTGTATGTCAGTTCTATTGGATACTTTCATTTTAATAAAAGTATAAGACGATTAAATTATATGTTATGTCTACGATTCAACCAAACATTCTCGAAAGGGGAATGACTTTAGCACCAGGGGAATGGCATCCTTTAATGTCAGCATGAGAACTGTAATAAAAGTTCGCTAATGTCTTTGTTTGGTTTAAAAAATAGAATTAATAGGCGCCAGTGGCATTTAAAACGTACGCATATATTAAAAAAAAATTGAGTTCTTAATTTGAAATGAAATATGATTTTGTTAAAAATGCTTTTAATTACTTTTTAAAAATACACCACTGCTTGTCAAGAATATTGGCTCAATCCAAAATAGTTCCTTTTTTGACTTATTACTGGGATTTGTTCAGAAAATGCTGAATTTTACTGTAAAATAATTAAGTGACGATGTTGGAATGGTCTACGACATGTTAATTTTGTGCGACAAACACGTCTCTCTCTTTCTTTCTGGTGAATTAGACGCTTTTGAGGTCACTATTCCTGAAAGCCATCGACAGTGTCCACAGTGTAATTCTAAATTTTAATAGAGAATGTGATAATATTCTTCCGTTTTTTTAATTAGAATTTCTTTTCTTGTTCTATTCAATGTAGAATAGTAAATGTTCTACGGTAAAATTAATTTTCTTATATTGTTGAATCGTTTTCGAAAAAGAAATGGCGGGTTTTAATAGTTACATTTTTTACACGAATTAATTTTTAGTTTGTGTATATTACGTTGTGCGTTTCTTGATTATTTGTCACCATTAAGCTGATGGCTCTGAAGCCAATGCTGTATAAATAAATAAATAATAAAATAATTGAAATATTTTCGAAATATGAAATTGTTGATATAATTATATAAAATATGTTTTCTTTAGAAGACATTAGTTTAAGTAAAACGAGTTTCAGTACATACATTAATATGATAAAGAGCCGGAAAAGGCTCAGATCAGCTCAGAGTCAGTGCCAAAGCCTGGACTAAATATGTGATATGCATTGACTTACAATTATATGGACGTCGGGTCCGCGCTAAAAAGTGTCCGCACTTGTAAGGCGCTAAAATCGTATACAGAGCGCGACACTCCGCTTTAGTCTTCATTTGTTCTACGGACAGCGCGATACTGCGATGACATAACAATTTAAATTTCGAATAGGTTGACTTGGGACATTTTTTACGTGGTTTTTGTATTAGACCCGTCGTCCATTTATTTGTAAGTCAATGGTGATATGTGAAATATAATAGCAGCTCTGCAGTAGAGCTCCTTGTGAAAGAGTTCGTCCAGGGAAGTGCTGCTACTTTATCTATTTCTGTCGCCAAGTAGTAATGTGAGCATTGCTGTGTTTCGGTTTTGCATGGTAAGGGTACTGGTGAAATTCTTAAGTCAAGCTATGTCTCAGGGTGACTCAGTTCTTTCAGTGGAGGGTCTCTCAGTTCTTTGCGATTTAAAGCTCTGAGTGACACTGCAACTGTTATGGACAGCCATGCTGCTTATCGCCAGGAGGACGACGTATTCGTCCCGTCGCTTGATAGTTAGTATCATAAAAAAATCCTTCGAAACCGAAACACGGTAATTCTCACTGCTTGGTGGTTAAAATAGTAGATACTGCTACTAAATATTATAATGGAAGATATTTTTTGGTTGCACCCGCTTTGTGTCTTCTAGTTTTCTATCCGGTGCAGGCAATCTGAAAGCAATTCGTATGCCGCAACATAGCCACTTTACCTTTTAGCTTATTCTATATGCAATATTACTGTAGTGTATTGTAATTATAATTTCCAATGTGCAATAAAGAATACTTCATTTCTTCATTCATTTACAACGCGGCAGAATTTTATGCAGGTATAACATTTTTGTAGCAGCGTCAGCGGATTTTTTTGGAGAATATAAAAATGTATTGTGTAATAAAAATTTAATTTCAGGCTAAAGTTTTTTAGTTCCATAACACTTTTATATCTTAAAAATGACTACACAGTTTTATTACACGTGTCCGTACGCTACTGTTACAACACAATAACAACAAGTTTACGAGGGGGTTAAAATACTGCCACCTAAGTAACTTTGCGAGAACGATGACACGGCGATGTTAAGTCGACGTGGTGGAAACACTGCCGTGACTCTAGATTGGAAGTTTTACATGTAATAGCAAGCAGGTCACTTTTTTAACCGACTTTAAAAAAGGAGGAGGTTCTCAATTCGACTACACATACACACACACACACACACACACACCATACACACACACACACACACACACACACACACACACACAGAAACGCTTACGCACATGCAAGATCATATGCACACGCTCCTGTAAAAACACGCATGTCCTCTCGCATGAACACGCACTCACAGGCGCATACTCGGACGCACGATGTTTATGTATGTATTTTATTGTAAGCAAATCCACAGAACAGTGATCTATCGCGTAGATGAAAAAAAAATCAATTCAATAAGTAGGGTAGAAGGGACAGGAATCTCATATCTACGTATTGCGGTCACACGGCTTTGTGACATATAGGCTTGAGACCGGTATTTCAACCATCCGTCATTATGAAATAAGCTGATATTGTATTGTACGCACTAGAAAAATGCCAAAATATGTAAAGATATACATTTAAGCAAAAAAAAACGCTTAGTCAAAGTAAAATTTAAAAAAAATCCACAAGTAAAACAAATTTATACTTGAAAATGTAATTTTTAAGCTATACTGCTTATTCACTGTGACGACTTCTCGGGAAGAAAGAAAATTAATTAGGGGTTGTTCTTTACAAATAAACTTTAATGCCATAGAAAACACTTTGAATAAAATCCAGAGCCATATCGTCTTTCCATACATCTTTATCTAACACCATCGAGAACATACTTTTTCTATATGATGTCAAGTGACAGCACGAACAAGTCGTGCGCCTAATCGTAAGCTACACGCCTGTCCATAACAGTTATAGTGCCACTCAGAACTTTAAATAGCAAATATCTGAGGGACACTGCCACTGCACCCGACACTCTGAGACAAAATTTGACACGTCTCATGTGTCTATAATTTCACCAGCAACCTCACCCTTTAAAACAGGAACGCAGTAATGCTCACATAACCGTTTGGCGACAGAAACACGTAAGGTACTTCTATAGACGAGCTCTTTCACTAGGAGCTCTACGGCCACTATACGTATACTTGATAACTTTTTAGTTGCCATCAAAATTTTTTGTAGGTATTACCAAGATTCAATTACGAGTAGAGTCTTACAAAGATTCCAATAAGAAAATGGTAGGTCAAATTTGTACTATAAAAGACCTTTTTCGATTTTTTTTAATATGGCTTGGGCAACCTACACTCGACCCTCGTATTTAGAATTTTTATTTACTTATAAATTTCTAAGTCTAAAATTATAGAAGCTTGACCTTCCCTTGATTATTTCGTATTTTATCAATGTTAAAAACCTTCAATATAATACGACGGCATTGTCAAATAACGTTTCAGTTTTACGATGTTTTGTAGTAATCCCTCTCCCCTTCTTAAAGTTCTAGGCATCTAAAAATATTCCGCCATCAATATTTTCCGCCTTCAACGGCTCAAAGTCGATTACCTCGTGTCTCACAAAGTAAACTCCTTTATTAGGGTGGCCAATTTAGAAAATTATTTATCTTTTTATTTAGTAAATGAAATATTTTTCCAGGGACGTGATGAAAAACAAATTCTTCCTTCTAGTTATAAATATACCACCTTATGAGTATTCAATTAATTAATGCATTTTTTCTGCTCCTTAATTTTTATCTGGCAATTATAATTTCATAAATCATATCACTTATTAGCTCGTTTTAGTTCTGTGCCAAAATTCTATTTTCTATGGTACTCGCTATTGAGTTGAAAAATTTCATTACACAGAACTACAACGAGTTTCAAAAAAAGAACGCCCAACTGTTGCTAATTAAAAGTCTCCATAAACGCATTACGGTGTTCCTGAACAGAATAACGTAGCTATATATGTGAAATTATCAAAATTCTTATTATTTTAATAGATAATATCTCAAAATATTACATAACAGATATAAAGGCGTAACTATTCGGCAAAAAATAACTATTTGAAAACAATATAAAATATCAAATATCATTCTACTCAAACGCTCTACTGCCTTCTGATTGTCTAAATATAAGCGGTACTTGCCCAGTTACGGGCACTAATTCTATCTCTTTGGTTGGTTTTTGTTTTCTACTGTTTAGTTTACTTTGGGTTTGTCGATCATTATTTTAATTTTCTCGTAGAAAAAGTATTGAATGCAATCATAATGAGGTCTTAAT